GCCTCGGCCTCCCAAAGTGCTGGGATGACAGGCTTGAGCCACCGCGCCCGGCCTTATTTTGTCTTTTTGATTGTCGCCATCGTAGGAGGTGTGAGGTGGCATCCATTTGCAGCTTTGATTTGCATCTCCCTCATGCCTAATGATGTGGAGCATTTTTTTATTCCTATTTTTTGTAGTGACGGGGTCTCGCCCTGTTGCCCAGGCTGTTCTGGAGCTCCCGGCCTCTCACGCCCGGGACACAGCCCCGAGCCTCCGCCTCGGGCTCAGCATCGTCGGGTGCTTATTGGCCATTTGCATAACGCACTGGAAAAATACTCATATCCTTTCCGGATGTTTCAATTGACTGTCTTTTTATTGTTGAGTTGTAAGTTTCCTGCATTCCAGATACAATTCCTTATCAGATAATGTGACTTACAAGTATTTTCTTCTGTTCTGTGGGTGGATTTCTCATGTTTTTGGTGTCCTTTAAAGCACAAAAGTGTTTTTTTTTTTTTTCTGAGAGGGCGTCCAGCTCTGTCACGAGGCTGGAGTTCAGTGGCGCGATCGCGGCCGACTGTAACCTCCGCCTCCCGGGTTCAAGCGAGTCTGCTGTCTCAATCTCCCGGGTAGCTGAGATTACGGGCGCGCGCCAGCACGCCCGGCTAATTTTTGCATTTTTAGTAGAGACGGGGGTTTCGCCATCTTGGCCAGGCTGGTCTCGATCCCTTGACCTCGTGACCCGCCAGCCTCGGCCTCCCAAAGTGCTGGGATTACAGATGTGAGCCACCGCGCCCGGCCCCAAGCGTTATTTTTAAAATGAGGAAAACAACACAGAGGAACGCTGACTCGATCCCGCGCCTTTCCCATCCACAGCAGTGAGCGGGACCGCGGAGTCCCAAGCGAGAATCCCGCGCCTCCAGACAGCGCCGGGGCTGCGCCGACGCGTCCGGAAGACCCCGCGCCTGCGCATTCCGCTACCCGCGCCTGCGCCGTTTCCCGGGTCCGCGCGCGCCCCTCGCCTCGGCACCTCCTCCGGCTGCGTCGCCGAAGTCTCGCGAGCCCGGCGAGCGGCACGTGAGTTGGTGACTGTCGCGCTGCTCTCTGCGCCTCCGGCCCGGCCTCCTAAGGCCCCC